CCCCAGGGAGGGTGAGATCCTCCATGGTGGTGTCCATAGTCTGTCATTTCATCCAGGGCAGGGCCTAGACCCTTCCCCAAGAGTTCAGGGTGAGAATGCATCTTTCAATGTTGGAAGGGTGTCCAAAGTCCATTTGTATACCAGGGATAAATACTGATCTACTACCCAAGGCTCAATAGATTACCTAGGCTTCCTCACTGACACCCACATTCAGGAGGTCTGGATCAGTCCCATGCTGGATTCCCAGGCATCAGTCTGGGATTCAAGAGTTAACTCTTGTCAGGTCAGCTGTTTCTGGGGGTTAAACCAGCCAAGTCTTAATCCCTTTGGTCATCAGTCCTCCCTCTCTGTCACTGGATTTCTTGAGTTCAACTCAGTGCTTAGCCATGGGAGTCTGCCTCTGCTTCCATCAGCCATTGAATGAAGGTTCTGTTTCCCAGACTCTCTGGCCATGGGATTGTAGGCTGGCACTCCCCAGATCTATGTCTAAAATCCATATATGAGATAGTACATGCCATGTTTCTCTTTTTGTGACTGGGTTACCTTGCTCAGGATGGTTTCTTCCAGTGCCATCCATTTGCCTGCAAATTTCAGGATTCCATTGCTTTTTTCTGCCGAATAGTAAGCCATTGTGTAAATGTACCACATTTTCTCTATCCACTCTTTGGTTGAGGGGCATCCAGGTTTCTTCCAAGTTCTGACTATTACAAATAATGCTGCTATGAACATAGTGGAACAGACATCCTTGCTGTATGAATGGGCATCTTTTGGATATATGCCTAAGGGTGGAGTCGCTGGGTCTTGTGGTCGGGGGTCAGAGTTCTCTTACACCACCACATTAAGGCTTTCATGCTCTACTGATGGGGAAGTCCTGTGTATATATCAATAAATCACTGTTGGCCAATAGGGAAGCAAGATAGGTGGGACTAGGAATCGAGGAGTATTCAGGGTAGGAGAAACACAGGGAGTCATCATGTAGCTAGCTGCCTTAGGAGTAAGAAGCCCGGACCCCTTTCTCCAGTAAGAGAAATACTTAGATTCATAATTATGGAGTAAATACTTAAGTCAGAGATAGTCAGTAAGAAATCAAGCAAACGGCCAACAGATTCATAATTAGTACAGCATCTTGTATGTTATTTGGGGACTACAATGTGGCAGAGCCGAGGCAACTGGTAGGGAAAAACCAAAGCAGCTGGCAAGGAACAGGCTTTAGTCAACACTCTACGTCACTGTGGACTTTGAAGATTTTTTCCTACCTCTCTTTTCAGTCCACTATACAGGGGAACATGTTGTCACACCAGTGACTTTTGGTCCTCAACTTTGTATATCTTGTGCTACCACCATCTTTTGTCACATTCTCTTTTATTATAAGCTACCACATTCCCTTTTTTGCATTATGAGTATCAATTTTTTCAGATATTGTTATTACTGTGAACAAGGTTTTGGACTAAATAGCAAGACAACAACATAAAATAGTGATATTCATATTCTGGAATCGAAAAATAACTGAATATAAATGATGCACCAAAATTTTCTATTTTGAAACCGTAGGTATTCATCATAAACTCATTGTGATGTTTTGATAATTTGTAAAATGTTGCTACCTTGTGATTAAAGGAACTATCTGGTGGGATGCTGTTGACGCAGTTTAAAAAATACTATTTTCTTAAACAAGTCATGGTATGTGATAATAGCTTACTGGTATATATAATCCTTTGTATGGGCACCTTCAAATTCAAGCCTATTCCTCTATACCAAGTTCAGCCAGCTCCATGATGGAAGCAACAAGGGTCAGTGATCATAGCAGGCATGGTAACATTTTCCATCCATGACTGGTTCTGTGTGAGAATGTTGGACACCACCAAACTCTGATATATCTTTGATTTCTCACATTATAAGAGATTCATTTAGTCCTCAATTGATTCTTGAAATATTTGAGAACCATGAAGAGTAGAGCTGTGTCTTAGGCATGCTAGTTGTTTTGTTAAGGTCAAGTGTGGACACTCCATTTTGACAATCCATTGTTCTTGTTAATTGTGTGGAAACTGGAGTGTGGACTGGGGCTCTGAAGACACAGAGCACTGGGCCAAATGTCCCAATGGAGATAAAATTGGGACACAGTCAAGAAGGAGATGGTGAACCTGAAGACATAAGATGCTTAGGTCAGCACAGAGGTATGAGGAGCCCATCTAGGCCTTCAATATCCCTTCACGGTTCCTGAGTCTATTGCCATATGTGTAGGGCATTACCTTGATTACATTTGTTAATGGGTAAAGACCCATCTTAATTGTGGGTGGGACTAATTTTGGAACAATGGGCACCAGGTGTTTATAAAATTGAGAAAGTTAACTGAGCACCAGTATGTATTCATTCATCCTTCTCTGCTTATTATATGTGGCTATAATGCTTCTGGATGCCTCGAGTTTCTGATGCCTTGATTTCTCTTCTGTGATCAACTGTACTCAGGAGCTGTGAGCTATGAAAGACCTTTCTTCTTTAATTTGGTTACACACCTAGATTATTTTATCATAGTAACAGGAAGAGATAGGCATCATGAACAATGTGTGAATCTGGAAAATTCAGGGTTATGCAAGTCTTATACATGTAACCACACTTGTCATAAGTTCATTAATACAATGCAACATTGTATCCAGGAGATGGTGTTTCATAGCACTACTGTTCATCCCTCACCTTTATTCATCCATGTTCTGATAACCATGGAGAAATAGATATAGATGCTATGAGTAGCAACAAGCACTCAGTAGTCACCTATTCACTACACTTTGACCAGTTATGCACACATATTAATTTTCAATTATCTATTAACAATTGCGGACAGTAAAGCCCGGCCTATACTGAGAATAGTACTAATCTGCTCATAAAAATTTATCTGTAAGGCAGTTTGACTCCATGGGAATTCAGCAAAAGAAGACTAGTAGATTCCTCTGTAGGTGCTATAGCATCTGCTGCAGTGGATTTTCGACTGAGTGAACAGTGGGTAGATGCTCACCTGTTGAACATACCACACATGCCATAAGAAAGCAGTTAGATATTTCTTTTATAGTCGTGCCACTATTGCACAAGAAGGCAGATGGAAAATTTCAGGACATATTAACACTTTCATCTATATAGCATGAAGAGATGCTTGTTCACAGCTCTCCTAGAATAACTTCATACAATTGGCTTCCATGCTAATGTTCACATGCTGAAGTATGGGCTTCAAGTGGTGTGTGTGTGTGTGTGTGTGTGTGTGTGTGTGTGTGTGTGTGTGTGTATGATGGAGAGATCTTTAAGGTCATACCTAAAGAATACCAAATACATGTGAGTATTACCCTTCTAAGTTACTACTGTATCTCCCTAACACCCTGATAAATTCTTATTAGAGTATATTAGTACACCATTCAATGCCTGGAAATCCTGCCTATCTCTCCCAGCTAACTATCATGGTGTTATTTTTCTTAGATCTTGAACCTGCGGTTTCCTCTTTCTGGTAGATTCTTTCTGGTAACTATGTCTCTTCTTCCCAGAGTTCTCTCTCTTAGCAGATGTCCCACCTGTACCTCCTGCTTAGCTATCAGCCATTCAGATTTTTCTTACATTGATCACAGCAAAAACACCTTTACAAATATCCTACAACAAAACTGATAATTGTGCATGAGACAATATACATGCAAATAAAATTATGAAATAATCTATTTTAGTGTCACTGTAGGAACCAGACTGTAAGATGAGTTATCATAGTACCCATCTGCAGATATAGCAAGGTCATGCACAGCTACCAACACTGTCTTAGAGCCCTGAACATGCCTCACCCACCATGGAGGAGGAAGTCTGACTACAATGATCCTTTACAAGGGTAGGTCCAAGGACTGAACAATTTAAGCCTCCTTTCTTGAACAAAGAACCTTCTGCGTTTTGGGAACTGCAGTTTTCAGTTCTGTTCGGAGTCCCATGATTTTGATGACCTTTACAGTTTAGAACTAATGTATAACCAAAGGGGCCCCTTAACCATAAAATTTACATGAAGAAAATTCTCTTGTATACAAACTGCATTGCAAAACTATCTCATGGTTAAGCAAGGCTTGAATGTCTAAGTCTCAAGCACTCCTGAACCCATACGTATTGTGAAAATGACGCTGTTATTAGATGATCAACATATTGCTGAACCTCATAGTCTGAATGCTAACAACATTAAAGTGGGAATGGGCATTTGTCAATGAACTGGCATTAAATAAAAGTCAGCCTTGATAAAACCAGGATTCTGAACAATGGAATAGGAACACTAAAGAAGTAAGCATTTTCAGAGGCTTGTTCCTGTGAAAATCATGTATGTTGGCTATTATTTAGCTGAATAGAATATAATCCAGTGCCATGAGAATACTGTGTTTCCCTGAAAATCCCTTCTGTGTGCATCCAGAAGAACTGAAGGAACTAGTGTGCAGTTGTCCCTTCTGTTCTGTTTCCTGCAGCAGCATCAACCTTTGTCTTCCTTTGTTGTGGATCTCTGTTCTACAGGCTTGTCATGACTCTTGTCAATTGAAGTCCCTGTATCTGTGCTTACACAGAGGTGACATCCAGAAGATTGATTTAATCAGTATTCTTTCATCATTTTTAGCAAGTTCAATTAAAATTTCCAGGGATATAACCACTGAAAAATTTCTGATATTGCTGTGAATTGTGGAACACAGTGTTCTCATACTTTGGGAGGTAGTACTGGTTGGTGAATCTTTTCTGGTCTACATAATGAGTTCCAGGACAGCCAGAGCTACATAGTAAAGCACTATCTCAACAAAGAAAGAAAGAAACAAACAAACAAAACAATCTAAAATAAGCACCCAAAACAAAAAGATTGAACACATGCTTCTAGGGAAACTTAATATAATGCTTTGGTTCACCACATAGATGTGTATAGGATCTTGTCTTTGTTTCTGTCTCTGGTGTCACTGGGGTGAGTAAGCATGAAAAGTCATGATATATCCCCAAAATATATTCTCCTGCAGGGGAAGGTATAAAACTTGCCATGTGTGTGGTCGGACAGTGTGAAGGACAACCAAGAAGAAAAAATGAGAGAAAATGACGAAATAGCTCTGAGCCTCCTCAGTTCAAGGTGCTGGCTCAGGAAGATATCACATTTATTTTGTAATACGTCCTGGTCCATAGTGACTGACAGGATTCAGCTAGATGTAGAGGCTAACAGTGAAAATGCAAGAAGAAACACCACTATTAGACTTGGGGTCATGATTCCAGAACAAGAAAGCTGAGGGAGAAGGAAGAGGAGACTAAGACCTGCATGAGGCTCAGGAGGTTCTGTCTCAGAAACAAAAAGAAAAACGAGAGCAGCACCAAGAGACAGAAGTCACATATTTTACAGCCCATCCCATCACACACTGGGGAAAGAAGAGTCAGGTGCCTGGGAAAAAAGAGTTCCTCTTTCTCAGGGGCTGTTATATTACACCCTCAAGACACCAAGGAGACACCACCCTGGAAAGAACAGACACTTTGTGTCCATCCATTTGGCAAGGACAACAACTCTCTGTATACTTATAGCAAATGGAAGACACCATGACTGCCCCTCTCACATCCCTGCTGTATCTTGGTGAGATGTCAAGATGGGAAGAGGGAATTCTAGTTGAAGAGGGAGACCACCTCATAGTCATGCCGAGGAACACCAGGATGTCACAGCAGCTCAAATATAATCTGGAATTAGAGGGCCTGCTCATGCTTCAGTGCAAACACTCACAGGTAACTCTCTTGCAGGATTGAGTCTTGGCCTCAGGAACTCAGTGCTGGCAGGTGAGTGTCTTGGCAGCTGCCCTAGTTTGAACATTTTTGTTTGGATTACAGGTCACTCCTGAACAGAATATGTGGAGAACAGTAGGTGTTGGGTGATGCTGTGAATGACTGGTCCTGGGTCTGAGAGTCTGTATATGAGAGGTGTAATGTGAACCCAGCTGCTGTCAATTTTCTTGCAGGGGACCTCTCTAAACCTACACTCAGGGTAGTGCCAAGAAATGTGGTAACCACTGGGGACCAGGTGACATTCTTCTGTGAAGGGCCCTTACAGGCCAAGGAATATATTCTCTATAAAGAAGGAAGGTCAGATTACCTGATAACAACCCTTCCAGAAACTAGGAACAAGGCCAAGTTCCCTATCTCATCGGTTGGATGGAATGATGCAGGCAGATACTGGTGTAACTATAAAGTCACCAATGACAGATCAGCAAAAAGTGACCTCCTGGAGCTGGTGGTGACAGGTGAGAGGACCCTTCCCCAATCCTGTGTTCTGTCTTGAGGACAGAATATTCTCATTTGGGTCCCCCTTTCTCAAATCTTATAAGATGGGAACAACGCTTCATAAATGAGGTCTCTTAATAGGCTTCCTCTTCTATCCTAGGAGTTTACCCCAGCAAACTGAAACTGTCAGCCCTTCCCAGCACTGTGGTGAAATCAGGAGCAAATGTGTCCCTTCAATGTGTGTCACGACAGGCATATACCTGGTTAATTCTAATGAAGGAAGATGAGAAGTTCTCCAGGCCTTTGGCCACACAGAATATATACCCTGATCTCTTTGGTGCCCAGTTCACAGTAGGTCCTATGACTCCCAACCAGAGGTGGAGTTTCACATGCTATGGCTATTATTGGACCAGCTCCCAGCTGTGGTCAGTGCCCAGTAACCACCTAGAGCTCCTAGTCCCAGGTAAGAAACTGCAGTACCTTCATTTGAGCATCATTGTAATGGACAAAGGATCCCAGCAAAAGACCTGACATGCTGTGGGAGACAGAGAGTCAGGGCCACTGAACTGTGCCACAGAATGTGTGAGGCAGCCTGACTTGAGGTTCCAAAACCATGGGTTGATATTAAAACTGAAGTCTAAGATGGAAGAAAAAGTGTGGTCATTACATGTCCTGTGTCCTGGTATTGCAAATCAGCTTATGTGTCCCACCAATGATGGATTTATCTCTGTGTGATTCTGCTAACTGATTCACCTCCTTTCTTTCTACTTACTTGCCAGGGCCCTTCACAATCCCATAATATGGACTGATCTAGGCTCTGTGGTCACACCAGAGAGTTCTGTTGCCACAGGGTGCGAAGGGAACTGAGAAATACAAACGTATGTGCTACACTAAGAGGGAAGCCTAGAACCCTGGGAAAGATACACCCAAGAGAATCACAATGAAGCAAAACTCACTATCTCTTCTGTGGAAAACACTGCAGGCAGGGTGCTGTCTCTGTTACTCTTACAACTTTGCTGGTGTGGTTAGAATGCAGGGATTACCTTGAGCTGGTGGTGACAGTGAGTCAATACTTAGGAGTCACAGGGATGCCCAGATGTGACTGAAGAAAACTCTGCTTTAAACATATCCCCACTCATTAGTCAAGTCTGGGGGACAACCAAGACTGTGTGAATCCATTTAATAGGTCATATGCATCACTCCTAGGTGTCTACAACAAACCTACCCTGTTGGCACTGCCAAACCCTGCTGTAATTTTAGGAGAATCTGTGACCCTCTCATAGTATCTAAAAATCTGAGCTACAAGTTGTTTTTAAATTGAGTTCAAGTCATTCTCCAGCTCTATGGGCTCATAGTATGTGTATCCTGGGATGTCTCAAGATAGATTCCAAGTGGTTTCAACACACTCAGTGAGAGACAGAGTTTTAGATGCCATGGCTATCCCTCAAATAATCCTCTAGTGTTGTCAGAAGGAAGTAGCATCCTAGAACTTCTAGTCTCAGGTCCTCACCTCTCTACTGAATGACACTGAGACTGAAACAGTTTTCCCCAGGAGACCCTGTATTGTGATGAGTACAGGGAAGGACAGGACCATTGTCCTACTGATACAGATGCAGACTGTGGGGGTTCAGATACAGAAACCAATGAGGAGTGTTGTCTAAATGGAACTTGGAGGGTCAGAAGGGAGACTGATCTTCAGATAGCTCTGTGTGTTCTTCTGTTATTCAAGACTGAGCTTCACATTCACTGTAAAACTCTTTAAAGATCCACATCTTTGTCACTTACTTCTTTTCAGGTACCCTCCAGAAACCCACCATCTAAGCTGAGCTATGCTCTTTGATCATGTTAGAAACCCCATGGCAATCTTGTGTGAGGCAACTATGAAAACTCATATATTTTTCCTATATAAAGAAGGAAGCCCAGCACCCTGAGGCAGAGTAAATGCACCAGTGCCTAATCCCAAAGCCAAGTTTATCATCCCATCCATGGGAGTGTATAATGCAGGGCGATATCACTGTTACTGTTATAACTCTGATGGGTGGCCTGGGCAACGTGACTTCCTATAGCTAGTGGTGACAGGTGAGAGGACAATGAGGGCCACAGTCTTTGCTTTTTCCTGGCAGGGAAATGACCCACATGAAGCAATAAGGAAAACTCAGATTAGGCTGGCATAGTAGTTGCAGGTTCATTCTTCTTGAAAGTCTGACTCTAGGCAGCTTATTGTGTAAACGCAGTACAATTTTTGAAAAAAAATATTACTGATCTAACAAAACCTCCAGTGAACAACTAGGTATAATTATATCAAAACTCAACTCAAAGTACATGTGAATATGAAGATGATTCTATGGCTTAAGTACATTCAATCAGGTGTGATCTTTGAGATAGTAAGGATGTCAGCAGGCTATTAAGTATATGTGACATCTCCCCTAAGGATGGGCTTTATTAATTAAAAGCTAATGATGAAGTCTATGGAGTGAGAGTCTGGGATAAACATTCTGGGGGACTTAGGTGAGGTTTGGATCTATACTTAGAAAGATCACCTGGTTATTAACAACATTCACTACTAGCTTTCTTGTAAGAAAATAGATATTCATTTCTTCCATTTGACAGACACCCTGCATGAGTAACATTCTTGAATTTTTTCATGTAACTTTTAAAATTAATTTTATTTAAATTAAAAACAATTTTATTTTACATACCAATCCCAGTTCCCTCTCCCTCCTGTGCTCCCATTCCCCCAACCAAATCCCTCATCCCACACCCATCCATTCCTCAGGTAGGGTAAGACCTGCAATGGGGGATTATCAAAGTCTGCCACATCATTTGGGGTAGGACCTAGGACCTCTCCCAATGGCTGAGAGTGTATCCCTCCACAGGGAATGAACCCCCAAGGTCCATTTGTGCAAAAGGGATAAACACCGGTTCCACAGCCAGAGGCTCCACAGACTGCTCAGGCACCCAAACTGACACATCCACATTCCTATGCTGTTTCCCCTGCTGTCAGACTGGGATCTGTGTGCTACCACTTGGTCAAATCAACTGTTTTTGTGGGTTTCTCCAGCCCGGTCTTAATGTCTTTGCTGCTATGGATGTAATTTATCAGATGTTCTTGTGGCATAAATGTGAATCATTTGGATATATGCCTAACAATGGAATTGCTGGATCTTGAGATAGACTTGCTCCCATTTTCCAGAGAAACTGCCATACTGATTTCCAAACTGGTTGTAATGGAGCCGTGCTCCCATTTCTCCAGATTCCTCTCCAGCATAAACTGTCATTAGTGTTTTTGATTTTAGTCATTCTGACAGGTGTAAATTGTATCTTATAGTTGTTTTGATTTGCATTTCCCTGATGGCTAAGGATGTTGAGAAATTTTTTGAGTGCCCTTTGGCCATTTGAGATTCCTCTGTTGAGAATTTTCTATTTAGTTTTGTACTCACTTTTTAATTGTATTATTTGGTGTTTTGGTAACTAGTTTCTTGAGTTCTTTGTATATTTCAGAAATCAGCTTTCTGTCAGTTGTGGTGCTGGTGAAGATCTTTTCCCATTCTGTGGGCTTTCATTTTCCTCTTGTTGACTGTGATCTTTGTGTTACAAAATCTCCTCAGTTTCAGGACATTCCATATATTAATTGTTGATATGAGTGTCTGTGCTACTGGTGCCATCTTCAGGAAGTGGTCTCCTATGCCAATTCATTCAAGGGTACTTCTTCTTTCTCTTTTAAGAGGTTCAGTGTGGCAGTATTTATGTTGAGGTCTTTGTATATACTAATATATATGGGTCTATCTGCAGTCTTCTACATGTAAGCATCCAATTATGCCAGCACTATTTGTTGATGATGTTTTCTTTTTTCCATTGTATAATTTTATGTTATTTGTCAAAAATCAGATGTTTATAGGTGTGTGGGTTAATATCAGGGTCTTCAATTCTATTCCATTGGTCTACCTGTCTGTTTTTGCTCCAATACTAAGCTGTTTTCATTACAATTGCTCTATAGTAGAGCTTGAAATCTGGAATGTTGTCCAGAACTTCCTTTATTGTACAGGGTTGTTTTGGTTATCTTCACAATATCCACAAACAACATAAAATATCTGGGGTAACTCTAACAAAACAAGCGAAAGACCTGTATGACAATAACTTTAAGTCTTTAAAGAAAGAAATTGAAGAAGATATCTTAAATGGTAAGATCTCCCATAGTAAAATCAACATAGTAAAAATGGCAATCTTACTAAAACAAATAGAAAGATTCATGCAATCCTCATCAAAATCGCAGAAAAATTCTTTACAGACCTTGAAAGAACAAGTCCCAACTTTATATGGAAAAAGAAAAAACCACAGGATAGCCAAAATGACTCTTCTTTGTCATTTTTGAGTACAGGTATATTGTGTATTCCATATTTTACCACAGGAAATACATCTCCCAAATATTTGCAAGCACAGTCTAAGAACTGGAGACAAAATATTATTTAAAAGGCTACATCCTCTTCTTCTAGGTGTCCACTATGGTAAATCTCCTCTGCCAGGTCTTGCCAAGTCCTGTGATGACCTCAGGTGTGAATGTGACCCTCCAATGTGTCTTATCCTAAGATTATGATTGGGGAAGATCAGAATTTCTTCACAAGGCTCAATAGACACACAGTAGACAGTCCCAAGCTTTGTTTCCTGAGATTTCTATAGCATTCAACAACAGTAGGCTTTTTAGACATTATTGATATTGCAAAAGTAGCCCACATATCTGGACAGAGAATAGTAACCCTGTGGAGATAGTTATCTCAGGTGATGAAGTCTCATTCTTTCAACAGTGTTTTGACATGAGAATGCTTCATCACTATTTTTGCTGCCCCAAGTGAAGATGGAACTGATCTACCCAACAAATATTGGGAAAGGAGGGTCTAAGATATTTATTTAGAGAGAAAAATCAGTTACATGAGAAGCCAGATCACCACTCTATGGCCTCTGAGCCTTGGCTAGGATCCAAGTGAGTGCTTTTCCTTTCTCTCCCCTTATATCTCTTTCCTTTCCCACATCGCATTGTCCATGCCCCAAATTGGGGTGGTCAGTACCTCAGGTATGTGAGATCTCCCCTACAATTACCCTTTTAGTCTAAATAAAAGATTTAGACTTGGTATAAAACTCAAACATATACAGCATATATACATAGAAGATGATAAGCAAATTATAATTTACTTAAATCCTATTCTAAGTATATCTATCCCATCTAAAACCCAAACTTATCTGAAAGAGATGCCCAAGTCTGAACACCTCTTTCCAATCCGAACCCTAAATAACTGAAAACAGACCCTATCAGGTGTAAAATACCTTGTAATATCAATAGCAAGGAAAGGAGGCATAGTATTTTCAAAATTACTTCCTGCTGAAATGGGATGATGACAACCTCATGGAATTCTGTAGGAGGAAAATGTTAATGTAATGAAAGTCTCATTTGCATTTAGTCTTTCTTGGTAGGAGATGCTTGACTGAAGTTCTAATGTTAATTTAAGTTCTTGTCTGAGGCTCTGGCCAGATTGTAGAAGGTGCAACATATCAGTTCGTTGGTCCAGAGTTACATAGAATGATGTAGTCCCAAATCAGTTCCAGGATACTGTTAGGTAGAGTCAATGATGTGGGGCCCCATTTTCTTTCCAAAGATTTTGAAGATTGATGTTAGGAAATTCCTTGTTCTCTGTGGAAAACTCAAGTGTTAATGTCAGCAGAGAAATTTTTAACTTTTATATGTATGCATACCAGGAAAGGCAACAATAAGGAAGATGGTAAATGTGAGGGGAAATTAGACTTTCAGAGAAGAACCGAGTATAAATAGATGACAGTCCCTAGATTTTGTTTTCTTCAGTCTTACATCAAGAGGATATTGATATTATACAGAAACTCTGAATTTTATTTTTAACATGTTTGGATTTAGAGGAGGAGAGCCAAATCCAACTCTAAAGCCAACTTTGGTTTAAGTGAATTGGGACCAAAAGAGAATTAGAAAGTAAAGAGAAATACATATTTTAAGTGCAAGGTTAAGAGAATTAGACATTGATACCAAACATTAGATTCTTTTTTGTTGAATGGTCCTTTGGGTAGCCATCCTCTCTTCTTTAGGTATCTACATTTAGTATTTTCTTGATATTTGGAGATGGGTTTTCCTATGAAGACATAAACAAAACACTTCTCTTTCCCTTTATGAGGTCTCTTTACACATAGTAGAATATGACTTTGTGGATGAGCTGTCATCTTTCCTCTTCATGGGGTTTCTCATGTGTACATAATATCTCTCCTACACCCAAGGATGGTTCAAGTCATGATGGCTGAAGGGAGCCCTATGATTCAGAATATGAAGGACCATGATGCTGTCAGAACAATAGAGTAGGGAGATTTGTCTTAGACTTTCTATTGTTGAAATGATATACTCTGACAAAAAGCATGTTGTAGAGGAAAAATTTAATTTGACTTATACATTCACAGCATGATTCATCCTAAAAGAAAGTCATGATGGGAACTCAGACATGAACCTGGAGGCAGGAATTGATGCATGATTTCTGGATGCATGCTGCTTGCTGGTTTCTCTTCATGATTTGTTCATCTTGTTTTCATGTAGAACCCAAAACCACCATCCTGGGGATGATACCACCTACAATGGGCTAGGCTCTCCCTTCAACCCATGGAGTCTCAAGACAGAGGTCTAGACTAGAACTCTGTTGCAGGATTGGATCAGGGATTCAATCTAAAATCAGGATAGATGGATTCTGTCTTGAGAGGGTAACATGCAAAAGCCCCATGCATTTGTGATTCTCAATTTCTACAAGTATTAATCAGAAAGCTCTGACCTAGATGTTAAGTTCCCTTTAGTTCTGATCTTGTTTGTGTTTTTCTCATATAGAGAATGTTTCTAGAAACTATTTCTGCAATTGCCCTGCTCTTTCTCACACTGTGATGGTGACAGTGTGTAGGGGTATAAAACAGGGCCAGGACAATAAATTCAGGCTCCTTCCTTGCAGTTCATAAAGTTTAGGTTCAGAATAGGCAATCAAGGCTAAAGGTTGGACTTCTTGGGTTAAATTTCTGCAATGTAGGTTCCTTGCTGCATTGCCAACAGGTAGAATGCCTAGGAGTGATGGGAGTCAGTCTCACATTTCATGACTTTGGGGTAAGAGGTAGTGAATACAAACACTCAGGATGGGCCTCACACATAATTCCACATTCATGAATTAACTTCCATGTTCCCATACCCAGACTGAGCAGGAAGCATAGTATGGCTTCCTTAGATTATAATTGGAAATGGGAGGTGATTTTCTTCATCAATCTTTAATTCTCAGTGTGAATTTCATGCTCAAGTATGAACTTAAACAAGTTGATGTGTTTGAAGAATCCAATAAGAAGATCAAAAGGAATCATGGTACAACAGGAAAATGGCTTATACTGTACCCTATCAAGTTATGTGATTAGTCTAACATGAAAGCATATGAAACAAAATTTGCAGGAAACATGAATGTAGACCTCAGTTTAGACACTCTCCTCTCACAAAAACTTCATTAATTGTGTACCTGCTCTTAGGATCTGCTGAGCACATCACTGCATTACAAAACATGTTCAAACAAAGGCATGGGACTAAGAAGCATTCTCACTGATACAGCAGCTCATTTGACTTTGTTCTTCCCTCCCTTCTTTGTCCACAGCCCCAGCACCAGAGACCCAGAGTGATCATACAGTGGAGAATCTCCTGAGAATGGGGATGGCCAGCTTGGTACTTATAATTCTTGGAATACTGGTGTTTGAGTCTTGTCATGGCTCTAGACATGTTCAACACGCAAATGGAATGGGGATGGGAGATACAGTAATGCATCCTATGTAGTCTCATGGAATGGACAATAAATATGAGGATTCTGGGTGGTTTCATAAGAAAATTCAGTGCCCATCTTGGAGAAGTATTGTAGAAACATACTAGGAATCAGTATGAATTGAGTGCAAGGGAAAGGTCTGCCTGTTGGGCTGGAGAACTCTTCACACAGCCACTGACGTTATTCCCTTGCATCTTGCTGTGGGCATTTGCTGAGGAGTTCTTCCTTTCTCCTTATGTAATGATGTGGGGGAACATCCTGTACCATCAAGTAGGGTTGAACCCTCATTATTGTATATGTTCTGCTCTTTATTATTTTCATATAGCATTTTCCATTATTTTAAATTACTATGTTCCCACCTACATTATGAATTTCCATTTCTCTTTTACTGAATACAAACTGCTTGGCTCAGTTACAATAAACATCAGCTGAAATAAGACTCAAGAATTTAAACAAGTAACTTAATACAAATAATGCTCTGAACCTCTTCTCAGAAGCTAAAGGGGCCTGTAGTTTTCACCATATGTCAATTTTGTGATTTATCTTAATAAGGAAATGATTGTCACAGGAAAAAAATCAGTGTTCGAAGAATTTCACTGGTAGGGCACTCTTAAAACAGCTTTGGAATCATTACTTTAAAAAGTAAAATCATTATGTGAAGTATATTCTAATTATTGTTATCATTTTAAAAACATCAATATATTATGGGAAGTTGTGGGAGTGAAGGGTAGATGTGTCTGCAAATGACATGATATGCCTGTGGAAGTCAGAGTAGTCAAATCTCTTTCTGCTTGGTGAGATGTCTGAATCAATTCTAGGTCACCAGCCTCAGCAGTAACCTCTTTTATCTACAAAGATGTCTTTTGTCTAAATGTTCTTAAAGCCGATATAATATCACTTGTATGATGTTCAGAAATGATATATAAAGCTAGCAATAGATGCAGTGGTACTGAACTGGATCTCTGTGGCCACAGAAAGTACTTCAGGCACCCACTGATATGCATTTTTGAGATGGACCTTAGACTTCCACATTGAGAAAAAAAATCCACCTCTGGATTTATGTCCTCAAAGCACTGCCTATCCAAAATCATCAAACAGATGTCAGTAGTACATGGGGCTTGGTAAAAACATCAAATTTATACACATATGCAGAGAAGATGGATCAACTCACTAACCTCATTCAAGACATTATTCCAAGTACATTCAAGCCACAGAAGCTTTAACTTCCACCATCAAACCAGATTTCAAGAATGCCACCCAATATCATTATACATGGACAATTTCTGTGGAGATCATTATGTCTGCTCTTCATAGTCTTTGTGCTCACAATTAACTCAGAAGAGAACATACATGCAACATATAAAATGATGAATTTTATTATGACATTTTCAAGAATGAAGGTGGTGTATTATGACAATAATAATTATAGATATTGTCACCACGCTAAATAGACAGTATTCATTTCCTTCAAGTCTTTCCTTGTTTTTTGTATTTTTTGATGGCAGCCATTGTGATAGGGAAAAGATGTATCTTTTAATGTGACCCTTAATGCTTATTCCCTATTTATTGCTGGTCGTCTCACAACAGTGGCCAGCTCATGTATCATTTTTCTTAAAATGTTCCACCAATTTCAAGAAGAAATCCCATAACATATTCATTTTGCCATGGACACACTGAGAAATGGGGCTCCAGTATCCTTCATGAATTTTGCTTCTCAGAACATCTAACACTCTGCTCTGCTGAGAAACTAGATTTAAACACATGTGTCCCAGTCCTCAGGTTTCAAAACTTCCCTTTTCCTTCCCAGCATCACCCCCGAACTCAGTTTATTTCCATTTCTACTGAGTCTGTAAAATATATTTAGATTATTATTCAAAGTAATAGGTTTCATTGTGGCATCTTCATGCACATGTATCATTATACTTAGTCAGTACACTTACTATGCTATCACTTTGAGATGGATTGCTCCCCTTCTTCCTTCAGTGGCTCACTTTACATTATCCCATCAAATATATTTTGTTACCTTCTCAATTTCTTGCTTTCCTTCTTAGTTACATGACCTATAGATATTAAAATATAGAAATATATACACATATATGCAATTTTAAATTATTTTATTGTTTTAATATTTATTTAAATTAGGAAAATATTATTTTATATATTTATCCTAGTTCTCTCTACCTCCCATCCTCCCACACCCACCACCAACCCCCATTTCATCCCTCTTCTACATAGAAAGGGTGAGGCCTTCAATGAGGAATCATCAAATGCTGTGACATCATTTGGGGCAGGGGCTAGGCAGTCCACTGTGTTTCTAGGTTGAGAGACCATCGCTCTATGGGAGAATGGGCTCCCAATGTCCATTCATGCACTAGAGATAAATACTGTTTCACTGCCAGAGGCCCCATAGACTGCCCAGGCCTCCTAAATGACACCCACATTCAGGGGGCCTGGCTCTGTCCCATGCTGTTTTCTGAGCTGTCAGTCTGGGGTCCATAAGCTCCCCCTCTTCAGGTTAGCTGTTTCTGCGGGTTTCTCCAGCCTGGTCTTTAGTCCTTTGCTCATCACTCCTCCCTCTCTACAACTGGATTCCAGAAATTTGGCTCAGTGCTGAGCTGTGGATCTCTGTTTCTGCTTTCATCAGCTATTGGATGAAGACTCAAAGATGGCATATAAGGTAGTCATCAATCTCATTATAGGGGAAAGTCATTAAGGATAGACTCTTCACTATTACTTGGAATCTTATTGGAGTCATCCTTGTATATCTCTAGACATTTCTCTAGTGCCAGATTTCTCTTTAAACCTATAATGGCCCCCTCTATTAAGGTATCTCTTTTTTTTGCTCTTCTCTATCCTTTTTCTGACTCAACCTTCCTGGTCCCTCATGTCTTCCTCCTCTCCTCTTCTCCTTCTCCTAACTCCCTCTCCCATCCCCAATACTCCCAATTTTCTCAGGTCATCTTGTCTTTTTCCCTTTCTCTGGGAGAGCATGTATGTCTCTCTTACATACGTGTTTCATAGATTTTTTTGGCGGTATGGGTTGTAGGCTGGTAATCCTTTGATCTATGTCTAATATCCATATATGAATGAGTACATACAATGTTTATCTATTTGTGACTGGGTTACCTCACTTAGGATGGTTTCTTCTAGTTCCATCCATTTGCCTTTGGATTTCAAGATTCCATTGTTGTTTTTCATTGTGTAATGAATCAACTCATATATGCAATTTTAAATTTAGACTGTGGATATGTGTGCCATTTTATTTTTGATGCTGGCATACTTCCTTTAACATAATGATTTCAATTACATCAATTGTCCTTAACATCTGTGCATTTTCTAGTCATTTTACTTACCTATTTAGTAGTTCTTCGAGAATTTCCCACAATGAGTTTCAATCATATCTATGCCTTGCTCAACTCCTCCCATTCCCTCCCAATCTAGTCAACTTCAAATCCACTCCCCATTATTGACCTTTCAAGGACAATGTGTGATTCTTATATATTCCTCAATGTGTGGTCTTTTACTAGAGTGTGAATAACCTACAATCTTGGAGAAAAGTGACTTCTCAGATGCTATCAATCATCAATACTTCCTTAAATTTATGCCAGATGTAGGAGATGAAAATGTATTTAAGAACTGAAAATGGAAATAGAAGCAATAAAGAAAATACATCATTAAGGAATTCTAGAAATGAAAAATCTAAGTATGCAAACAGGAACTATAGATGTAATCATCACCAACATAATTCAAGATATGGAAGAGCATTGTGTCTCTAAGATTCAACTTAGAAAAATCACAGATCTTCCTATAAGTCTATTTTCTATGCCCACTAATCATTTTCTCTGATTTTTCCTTATGGAATCTATTTACCTTTGCTGAAGAAAGTAAATGAACCTGTACTTCAATGATAAATATGTAGCTGACACTCAAAAATGACATGGAAGAGATAATCTTAGGCACTGAAGATCCAATGAAAAAGTAGAAACATACTTCAAAGAAAATGTTCAATCTAATAAAACCCTGACACATATCATCAAGATAAATCTGGGACACTATGAAAAGACTAAACCTAAGAAATATAGGAATAGAGAAGGAGAAGATTCCCAGATCAAAGTCCCAGAAAGGTTTTTTAAGCAAAACTACAGAAGAAAAATTTTCCAACCTATAAAAGTACATGCCTATAAATGTAAGAGAAGCATACTGACCACCAAATATATTGGACCAGTGCAGGAAGACTTCTTACTACTTAATATTCAAAACACTAAAGACACAGAACAAAGAAAACTTTAAAAGCTACAAGAAAAAATTCAAATGATGTATAAGGGCAGACCTATTGTAACCACACCCAAATAGTCTATGGAGGCTCTAAAAGTCAGAAGGGCCTGCACAGATGTGCTGACAGATTTAAGACAGCACAGTTGACAGACAAGACTATAATACCCAGTCAAAATTTGCATGATCATAGATAGAGAAGCTATGATATGGATGAGCATGTCAAATGAAATCACATATACCCACAAATACAATCCTATAGAAGGTACTAGAAGAAAATCTCCAAGCAGGGGAGGTTAACTACATTCTGGAAAACACAAGTAATAATCCAAAGCCAGCATAATCAAAACAAGAAAAACTCAAACATGTGCGCACTCGGTCACAAAAAAGTCTCAACATATACAAGAAAATTGAAATTTGATGGGGGATAACCTTTTGTATGCTGTGAATGTGTTTATCTTATTGGTAGATGAATATAGCTATTTTGGACAATAGATAGGTAAGATAGAGCTAGGCAGGAAGTATAGGTGGGGCTACAAGACTAGGAGACTTCTGGGAAGAGGAATGCAGAGAGAAGCCACCAGAAAGATATTCTGCAACCATAGAAGGAGTAACATGCCAGCTGAGTATTATGGGTAAGTCATCACCTTGTGGCAATACATAGTTTAATAGAAAAGGTTGAATAAGATAGAGATAGCCATAAGAAGCCAGAGCCATTGATCAAACAGTTGTAATTAATATAGTCATATTACCAAAATCAATCCACTGATTCAAAGAAATCCCCATCAAAATTCTAATACAATACCTTACATATATTGAAAAACAACACCCAGCTTCATAGGGAAAAACAAAAAGCACAGGAGAGCTAAAATTGTCCTTTGCAACAAAAGAACTTCCAGAGGTATCAAAATCCCTTACTTCAATTTGTACTATGGAAGTATAGTACCAAAAACTACATTGGCATAAAAAAGACTAGTTGGTCAATGGAACAGAACTGAAGACCCAGACATAAAATGACTCTCTCATGGACACCTGATTTTTGATAAAGAAGCCATAATTTTATAACGGAAAAAGAAGGTATCTTCAACAAATGGTGTTGATCTCAATGAAAGTTGCATGAAGAATAATAAAAATACATTCATATCGCCAACCCATGGAAACAGGACTAGTCTGGCTGCTTGGGCTTGGGGTCTACCACTGTCTCTTCCATGCTAGTGGAAGGAGCCAATGCTCCCTAGTCTCGTGCCCCACCCACAGATCCAGGTAAACCCGGGCCCATTTCTGGACTATCTGCCTGGGCCTGGGCTCTGCCATTGAGTCTTCCACCCTGGCAGAGGCGGCAGGAGCCAAGGTACCATAGTTTCCTGCTCCACCCATGGAACTAAGAGTAGAC